ACATTCTTAAAAGGTGTTCCAAAAATCAGTTGCCAGCTGTATTGSATTTCATCTTGGTGTATTATGAAACAAGTCCGTTTAAGAAATAGACTGTCCATTGCCGTGGGTTGTCTTTGCACTTGTCCCTGCTTGAGTTCATTACGTCTGAGTGTTGCTTAAGTCCCTTTTGTCAATAAGSGGGTTTTCAGCAGCTGGCTGGCTAAGCTGTCTGAAGTTGTCATCTCCATGTCTGCTTCCACTAACTTAGTTCTCTCCCACCAGCACTGTGCTAGCACTGCGGTTATAGGGCCCCATGGTGAAGCAGGCCAGGGAGGTTTCTTCTCACTGAAACCACTCTTTTCAGCTTTTTTTTTTTCCTCAGGTCCTTTTCTTGTTGCTCATTATTCAGTTGAACTAATGACAAAATGAGAAGGGCAGAAGGAGAGTGTAGGAGTCGCCAGTTAAGCTCTTATATGAAAAGCTAAGTCAGTACTTGAGCTGACCCTGTGCACTCCCCCTATGCTGACCTGGAGCTGCTGTCAGTTCCTGTTTCTATCTAATGCTGCTTGTTATCGTACAAAACTAAGAGGGTTTGTAAAATAAGTTTGTAAGTGGTTTGCTCGTTTGTTTTGCTTTTAATCCAGAGTGATTTGTATCTTTTGTTTCCGTCTCTGGTAGGTAAGGGGTGAAGCTCTTGAACAAGTTGAGATGTGGCTGTATCTTTGTTTTGTTTTCAAGGGGAAAAGTAGTTCTGTGCTCCACCTCACCTTGAAGGAGTCAGAAAGATCAATCCTGCTACTGAAGGGAATTAGAAAATTGTGAAATTTTATGTATTTATTTATTTGCTACTTTTTGGTAGTAGTGCCTTTTGAAAAGTTCTCTAACACTAAAATTGCCCTGATATACCTCATATTAGAACATGAATCAGTTTTTATAACAGGCAAACATTTTGAGAAAAAGTATTTAAAAATAAAATGTGTAACAAATTTTAGATTTTTACTCCTTAATTTCCCTGTCAGTTTCAATACTCTTTTTCACAAGGGATTTTTTCCTGAAATAATTTTTTTTTCCTCCAAAAAGGCCAACAGAAAGAGAATGAAAAGGAATATTGGACTAGTAGAGAGTTGTTACGTAACACAGATTGATCACGTTTGTTTTAGACTACTTTAGCACTTGCGTGCTAGGTTAAACAGCTTGTTTAAGCTAGGTTTAATCAGCATGTGCTGATTAAACAGAGATGTCAGTGTGGAGCCGTGCTCACGTGATGCCCACATTTGGTGTGAGTAGGTACCAGAGCAGGCAGCATCAGCTAGCAGAAGTTGACCACTCCCCAAAGTTACCAAAGTGACATGATGGGAAAATCCCAAATGTTGTGATTTGAAGAAAGGAAGAAATAAATCATATCTGTTAATTCGTGGATGAGAAAACAGTTTCTTCAAAAGATAATTGATAAATATTTAATCAGTAATTTCTTTGCTTGTGCCCAGAGCATTTTCTGGTGTTGAACAATTCATAATTGAATCCAGAATGTTAGAAACCTTTAAATTGAGCTTTATCTAACCTGGATGCTTGAAGAATAAGAATAGACAATAGTTGTGAATTGAAAGATAGCAAGGGAATGAAATGTGTATGTAGTGTCAGAGYCCACAATTAAGTAATATGATGTCAATGGCAGTCATTTAAGAGAAGGAAAAAAACCAGTTCATGGGACACTATTTTTGTTAAAATATCTGCTGAGAGCTTAAAGATATACAAGGTAATGGGGGTTAGAGCTCATTAAAACTGTTCATACGGTCTTATCATTAGGAATCCAGTAGCTGAAATGGTGTTTACTTAGTTAAAGGGTGGTGTGTGCAGTGGATAAGGCTAAGAACATGCACCTTATGCAGTGGAAGGTGTTAGTATGGACAAGATACAATACGGACAAGATAGACTTCTGAGAGTTTTATCATCCCAGCTGGATCTCAGAAGGTAAACATCAGCCAGATACCTGTAAGCTTAGCAAAACGTGACAGTTGCAGTATGTGTGTCACCTTTGAAGGCAGCACAATCCGAAATGAGACTTCTGCAAAGCTCTGCTGGGGTAATGGCTTTTGRAGAGGAAAGTCGAGGCTTACAAATGCATGAGTGTTCTGTGAGAGAGACTGTGTGTGTGTGGCWAGGGTCCATCTACTTTGCATAGTAAAAGATGTTTCTCTGAATTAGGAAACCTGGGTTGAATTCCAAGAGATCTGGAAGGAAAAGGCTGAATGATACTTCCTCCTAGTGCAATTTAGAGTTTCAACTTCCCTATAATAAAAATAGAAGAGGTATTTCACTAAGTTTATTAGTTAATTTTCTTGGTAGAAAAGTGATGAAGTGATATTTAAGAATACAATATACGTTTCCTCCTCTTCACTCCCCCCCTTTATTAAGAGTGGTATTTTGTTATTTATGTAGCTAAATAAAAATATAGGACTTGCATAAACTGTTAAATGCAGAATCTTTTGCCTCTAATGTCAGAGGATCACTGCAATGCTGAGCAATATTTTACTTACTTGTAAAGAGCTTCATAGTATGGAGCTTCATAAGAATTCATARAAGAGCTTCATAAGAATTCACTGCTTTGTGACTGAGTTATTTTGATAAGAAGGGTAGAAACCTATATGAACTGCTGTTYAAATGTTTTTAAACTTTTTTAAAAAGAATAAGGAAGTCTTTTAGCTGTGTGAACACCATGTTTTAACCTTTAAAATGAGGTGACCTTCTGGCTACTCAGGCTTTCTGTTTCCATTTGCATTTCCTGACTACTCTGTTGTAATTAGGATTATTTGGGTACTCTGAGGCTTCCCTGTATGCCAGAGTATTTGGCAAGGGAACTCACTGGGTTACAGAGCGAGGCGACCAGACGGCCGTTCATTCCACCTAGCTAGTGTGGAGCCTGTGCCAACGTCTTCTTAGTCTTCTTTTTTTTTTTTTTTTTTTTTTTTTTTTTTTCCTCCAGGGTTTCTCTCCACAAAATTGTGCTTTAATTTGGAGAGCCTCTATTTTCAGGGCTGCACAGTTTTCTGCAAGGCAGAAGGGGAAGCAGATTCTGCAGCAGTGATTTCCAGTCATATGATGAGCCTTGTACTTCACCTCACCTCATACTCAGGATTCTGCTCACCTAAAGACACGTGTTAGTGGGTGCCATCTCTTTCCTTAAATTAGATATTTGAGCTGTCTTTCTTGAGCCTTGGGTGCCCTGCACCTTCCACAAAAAATCCCTGACTTAGAGTGATCAAGAACTTCTACAGAGGGCATCTTTCTGTTTCTCCTTTGGCCTCAAGAGCCTTCTGAGGTTCTTGTTGTAGTGACTTGCCTCTAGTAGATCTACGTTTTACCTTATGTGAAGGCTAGTGAAAGGTTCTGYTGACAGATTCTTTTGTTTATTGTTAGCCTCAAAACCTAAATGAAGTGGAAAATGGAAATAGGAGTTTGTAAGTGACCGTACATTTTTATTGGAGTTTGTGTACTCTGAAATAGTGGCRGATCCTCCCTGGCAGTCTGATAAGTGGACTCAGGGCTTGCGTCTCGGACTGCTGCCTAGGTGTCTGCTGGTTTTGAAGAGCGTTCTGCGTCCAACCTTGGCCTTTTCATCTCCCTTCTCTTAGTTAGTCAGGTCCTCGTTCACTTTGTGGAAGGTCTCATTCTGTCTACACTCTGGGGAGCGAAAAATAGGTGGTTACCATTTCTTCTTCTCCTTTTGACTGTCACTGACGGCTGTGGCAGATGGTAGTGGAGAGGCACATGTAAAGGATTTTGATGGTATGGTATCCGTTTGCACCATGCTTGAGCTTAAGCTGTCAAAATCTGTCAGATGTGCCTGCATCACMCCGCAGGCACCGTGTCCGCATTCTGCGAGATAGCACTTCAGTGCTTCTACACGGAGCAGCTCCAGAGCAGCGTGAGAGCTTGCTCTGCATAGAAGCATTCTGCTCTCGCAAGCCTGCCGTTGAGTCGTAGTGGTGGTGGACCTTGGAGTTTCAGATGWCACCAGTACACAGTGACAGCAGGAATCAGTCCCTTTACCATAAATGGCAGATCAAGGACTGTAAACCATGAAACGTTCTTGGTCCATGCATTCTCTTGGAGAATTCAGACACCCAAGTGTGTGATTTCTCTGCTCCATTTCAGGAAGGCCTAGTTCTTTGTTTCAGTGACTCTCTCAACCTTAACTTTATTTCCTATGTTTTTTATTTGTTTGGTAGGTAGTAAAATGCATTTGCCTCCTCTGGCTGGCACCTCTAAGGCAGGCCATTATACCACATACCCTTTGGCCTTTTCCTTGGCTGAAAGAGTTGGGACAAGACCACTTTTGTTTCCTTGTCCCGAAAGAGATATTTCTTACCTGTCCAAGAAGGAAATATTCTCCTGGACTGATGATGCAGCACCTGTCCTTGCTTATTATCTATCCATCTAATCACTGAAGAATAAGAATTAATGCTTAAGAATTTTCCTCACACTTTCTGTCTCCTTAAGAGAATACAGGGAAGCGCAAGTTAAACGAATCATGTAGATAATAGCAAAGGTGTAAAATAATTTTAAAAGCTTGTGGCACATGTCTTCATGTGAAGAATTCRTTTTGAGGAACAGCATTGAATGGTAAATAACTCTTGCTTTGGAGTTTGTGATTTGATATACTGGGTGTTATTTGGAACACTTAGCAGATGGCTGCTCTTAAGAGTCCTATGCAAATAATTATTAGAGGATTGTTGTACTGAACACTTTTAAATATAAAAAAATTAAAACGACACCATTAACTCATCATTTGGCAACTGTGATCATCTGGCAACTGTTCAGTATTGTTCCTTCTTTTAACAAATATATTTTTCTCTATGATTCAAGATGAGAAGCCATGCAGTCTTGCACTGGATGAATGTTCTGAATTTTTAGGCATTATATTGCATTTTTGAAGATGAGTATGGTTAATGATACTCATTTCAGTTTGAAAAGCTTGGTGTGCATTAGATAATGCTTAACAGTGCTTTGTTCTTATGTAGGTTCCTCTAAAGAAGGAGGGGCTGGAGCAGTGGATGAAGATGACTTTATTAAAGCATTTACAGATGTTCCTACTGTACAGGTAAGGTACTATGCATGCTTGTTTTTGTTTTGTTTCCAGAAATATGCTATTTGCAGTGCTATGCATTAATATTTTAAAATAAATAAATAAAATGTAAGTTAAAATTATTTTTGTTAGTTATTTCTTACAAAATAATTTGTATTATTTTAAGCCTTTCTTGATCTTTTCTAAAGAGCTACTGAAAGTAGTTGTAATTCTTTTAAAAGTTTGCATAAGCTTGGAGAATTTAGTATTGGGATTTCTTGGGATAACCAACTAATATTAGCCCAGGCAAATAAATTTAAAAGGAAGAATAGTATTTTCCAAATGAGAGCGTCTGAATTCTAATGAAGTATGTCTGGCCTAAATGTATTCATCTCTTGAAATACTTAAACAGGGCTTTATTTAAATACTAATGAAACCTGTTGGATGCTGAGTTCTTAGTTAAAAGATCAGATTTTAATTTTTATTCTTTTTAACTGGAAATTCTGTGGGAATTACATGTTTGCTGCTTCTACACAGTTGGGTCATCTAAGATGTTTGTACTTTCCAAAACCTCCTTTATAAAACTTTCCCTGGAGCTGCTGAGATTTGGAGGAGAACTATGAACTCATTGTAAGCCACAGTTCCCAAATGCCAGAGGGTTTTTTTAGGGCTCTTCTCATGATGCATGATTTTGCTTTATTTTTATTTCTCAAGATTGTAGTATAGGCATTTATTACATCTGCTTTTGTAGGCAGAARTACTTTGTAGGTAGAGGGAAAAAAGACCCACATATTCTTACCAATCCGAGTTGAGTTTGAGGTGGAGGGAAAAGGGAAGGAATTTGTGCCTGACCCCCAAATAACTTGTATTTCAAGTTCCAGCATTTGGGTTAAACCTGTTAGCCAGGCAAAATGAATTATATGTAGTATTCTTAAGAATAAGGATGTCCTGTTGTCCAACTTTGTGTGTCTGGTGTTGGACAGTGTCTGACACTGTAGAAGGAAGACAGATTCTGTGTCCTTGACACCATGCTAGCTACAAAGAAAGGGAGAAATTTCTTCAGTAGCTCTTGTGAACTCTTGTCATCTGAAATTTGACAGCTTGTTCTGAAAACAAGGAAAATTTATAAGAAGAGAGGGTTCTTTGTGCATTATTGGCCCCATTTTTGTGTCTGTTTTCATTGTGTGTAGTTTACTTGGAAGGGAGAAAACTATASTATGGAAATCTGAATTGGATTTGAAGGGAAGATTCAGCATTTGTATCAAGTCAGTCTAGATCACCTAAATATATGGTTATAAAACTCCAGTGTTGGATCTGCTTTTCTAATAATGTTTTCCACTTACTGTGCTCATCCCTCATATTTTAGGGMCATCGTATTGTTTGCCCTAGTTTGTGTTTGTGCTTTTAATTGTTCTGTCTTTGTTATTGCATTTCTCTTTATTGATGTGTATGCATGTTGCCCTCTCATGGATAAAGGCTTTYTATGAAGGTCATAAATGATTTTGAAATATAGTCTCAAAGATTGGTGTGTTAAAAAGAGAAATTCCTTATTTGCTGTACTGCAGGGATAGGACAATGCCTCAATATTTAATTTCATAAAAGCTATAAGTTTTTACAATTTTATTAATATTCTATTTAACTTAAAGAAGAAAACTGTGCTTGAATTATTAACGTTAATATTGGGAGTGTTTTCAAAGCAAATTGTTTTTGCAAAAATCTGATGCAGGAGCCTATAAACAAAAAAATGCTACGTCATTGACTTCAAAACACAAAATTTCATCTTGGCCTTATAAAAACATAAATAAGGACATTAAAAAAATACCATTTAAACCTATTTAAAGGGACTATGGAGAAGCTTGACAGTTTGGTATATTTTCATGGAATTATAGTTTTAATTTCATGACAAGATAAAATTATGCCCTTTACTAAATTCTGTGTTCTGTGCCAGTTTGAACAACTGGAATTGCCCAGATATACCTTTATTTGCAGCGGGAACTCGCAGGCCAGTTAAATCCCCATAAAGTTCACCACTCTTGTGATGGGGAAGAGACCCGCACCAGCACCCCGCGCCTCAGGTTACAGTCTGGTGCTTGAGGATCGTTTAGTTTTATTATTTCTAGAGTTCAGTCCTCTTGTTTTGAATAGTGGTTAAGAAAAGGAAGTTGAATCGAAAAATGAAATGAATTGAAAGGAAAAATGATATGTCAACAGGTTATCTAAAATTTCCACTGAACGAATAATAATTTGAAAAGAGAATATAGGTAATGAAAATACATATGGTTAGGTCATGAGATAGAGGAAAATTAAGGCATTGAGGAAAATGCTGACTCTTGAACCTTTCTAAATGAATGTACATTACTCAGTGATGCCCTCAAATTTGCTAAAAAATGCAGTTATCTCTCTTATACATGGGTGGTTCTGGGGAACTCTTAAGGGAAGATTTTTCATAATTCTGTTTTCAACCTAAAGTTGGTTTCCTTCATCATATGAACTAGAATATTAATGATACAAATGTTTTGTGTTTTTACTATTTCAGATCTATTCTAGTCGAGAACTTGAAGAAACGTTAAACAAAATCAGGGAAATTCTTTCAGATGACAAACATGATTGGGATCAACGAACTAACGCGGTAAATATTTTTATCTGACGTCAGGCTTGGGTGGGTGTGTTTTATTAAAAAAAACTGCAGATAAGTAGTTTTAAAACTTTTTTMTTTAATAAAGTTCAGAAGAGCGAAAGCTTTTGTTCTAGATTTCTAAATTTTGAATTTCCAYGTGTATTATCGTTTTGGAATAAACTTGAAAAAAAAAGTATGCAAATAATAAAATATGTCTTTATTGATGTTTAAGTGCTGGCTTTTCCAGAAGTTATCATGTTAGTTTGAGTTGTCAAAAAATACGAGTGCAAAAAAATGCAGTGCAAATGAAAAAAGAGTGCAAAAATACGTTGTGCAAATAAGAGGCTTCAGTGCTTGTATTTTATTTACGTCTTTGATACATCTTAATCATGTACGGGAAATTTATATATGGATGTTATATTTGGATTTTTTTTATCAGATTCTCATATTTTGGTAGGACTTCGGAAAAATGTGAACGGAATCATGCATTTGTMTATTAGGAGACTGGACTGTGCTACTTTTTAGTTCAAGACTTTAATTAATAGAATTTCCATTTTTCATTGTGTTTCTGAATATCGGGATGTACATATATGTTAGGTGCTTACATGATTTTCAAAAGTACGTGGATACTATTTTCTTTAGAAATGCATAGTGCTAGTATGCAAAACTAAATGTCTTTTTTTTTCTCTTCAGCTCAGGAAAGTTCGGTCCCTGCTTGTGGCTGGAGCTGCGCAGTACGATGGATTTTTTCAGCATTTGCGGTTGTTGGATGGGGCTTTCAAGCTGTCAGCCAAGGATCTCCGATCCCAGGTGGTCAGAGAAGCCTGCATTACTGTGGCGTAAGTAGAATTCATGTTCGTTGCTCACATTGCTTGATTTTTGTGCAAACATGAATTTAAGGTGCTTGAAATGTTGATGGAAAGATTTTATTTTTGTATGTTATAGATTAAACTATGGATTAAAGAGCAAAGTCAGGCTCTGAAGTTGTAGAGGCAAAGCAGAAACTTTTTAAATGAATTTATTTAGTGATAAATATATGGATAATCCTGTAAAGTAATATATTTGAAGAACAAATTAMCATCATCAGACTGAGGACTTACCACAGTTTATATTAACTTGTGTTCAATGCTGTTTTGGACTGTTTTAAGGATCAGTCTTGGAAGCAGGCTTTACCTGCATTATAACAGTACAAAATCTCAAGCGTTAACTTTTTTCCTTGAAATTTTAGCTTATCATGTTTTCACAGTATATTAAAAGTAGGAATACAGTGATATTGCATTTCATATTGTATATAGACATGACAATTTCGGTTTTCAAATTGTGGTATTTAATTTTCATCATGAAATTAACAAATAAGTGCTCCACCAATCTTACATTTMCAATTAGGGAACGATTTAGAAACACGGAGATTAAGACATTTTATTTATGATAAATAAGATTAAGTATCTTATTTGGGAAGCTAAATCTCTAAAACGTACAACTTTTTTTACTCTTTTAAGAGGAGTGTAATGCTGTTAACCACTTYGATTTCTTTATCCTCCCCAGCCATCTTTCAACCGTTCTGGGGAACAAGTTTGATCACGGCGCCGAAGCTATTGTGCCTACGCTTTTTAACCTGGTTCCCAACAGCGCCAAAGTAATGGCAACTTCTGGGTGTGCAGCCATTAGGTTTATTATTCGGGTAGGTGTTCCTCTCTTGCTCTGGCTAGAAATAGTCAGGCAGTATTGCTTACCAGAGATTGTATCGGTTCTCAAATATAGTCTGGATTTATCAGATCTTTCTTTATAATGTTTATTCAACAGTGGAGAAGTAATTTTTTGGACAGGAAGCAAATGTTATAGAAATATTACCAAATGCAGTGAATATTGCCTCTTATTGATACCAATCAGCAGCATTATCCTGATAAAAATGGTGAAACAGGTATGAAAAGGCAGTATGCTTTCATTCTTTTTATAGTGTGTAATAGTCAAAAGGCAAGTGTGCTTCCGAGACTCCCTGCCTTTTGGCAAAATGCAGAGCAAACAAGCAGTCAGCAGGCCAGCAACGAATACTTGGGAGCAGATTTTCCCTTCTGTTGTGCATGGGTGCGTATACGCACCGGCTCACTCAACTTGGAGCCCAGCCCTCATCCCAGAACAGGGAAGAGGCCGAGCACATGTGGAGCAGTTCACACGGGACAAGGCTGTGGCAGGGAAGTCCAGAAGAGCTATTTAGATCTCTGCTGTGAGAAACATTTTAAGCTGCTGAGTGCCTAAAGCAGGAAAGGGAAATGCTGCATGTTGGGCCTGTTTAATGTCTGTTCCTAAGCATCTGTTACTAACCAGGGCCTGAAACAAGGCATTTGTCTAGGTTTGTAGGACCTGTCTTGGCACTTTTTGGTTGAAGGTCAAGGTAGGGAGTTGCCTRTAGTTTTTACATTAAAAGCTCTGTGGTTGTCTCTAGTCCTTAATGCTAGACACTTCCTGCTATTCAGTGTGATCCCATCCACACTCATAATTTTGTGACTTGTTAGAAACCGAAGTAATTTAACCACCTGTGCAATGTATTGCTGGGTTCAGGATATTCAGTGCTTGCCCTCTGCCTAACTGCTCTGAGGCTTTGTGAAGGCGAACCTGTAGGTATTTTTCTCCCGAGTTCTACAATGCACCATGAGAGGGCTTGTGAGCCATAGTTCAGAGAGGAAGAAGGTGTAAAACTTACACAGTGTGATAAAAGCTGTAAGAGAAGACTATAWTTTATGGTAGTATTATGCAAGCTCAGATTTGTAAGAAAAATAGCCCCCTTCTCATTGCTTACAGGAGCCAGATCAAGCAGTGGAACAGGAAAGCAGCATGAAGCAAAATTCACTGGTGATATCGTCTCAGTGTAGTTGAGCAGGAGCCTACATGCCAGCTCTAACTGCCCTGCTTTTGTTCAAATTTCTGTTGTTTTCAGCTTTAATAAAGTAATGTGTTTTTTTGCTTCCACGCTTCCAATCCAATATGTTCAAATACCAAACAAATAAATGGGTTGTGCCAGGTGTTTTGACAGTGGGAAGATTCCAGGTGTAATGGAAACAAATGACTTCCAGAGCCAAAAGCAATGCATACCCACTTCCCGTGAATTTCTGTCCTTTGGATTAAATTGGCGTTTGTCGAGGAAAGTGTGATCTGTGGGACTTTAAGGGCCCAGGGCGGGTGTAACGGCTTTTGGAGGCTGAGTTTGGCTTGTAAAATGCTACCAGAAACCACTGGCCCGTTCCCCAGAAGCACCAGCCGTTCCAGATCCTCCTGCTTTAGTGTCTTGGTGCTGTGAGAGAGATCACTGAGAGAGAGAGGGGCTGTTAAGCAGTCAGTCCTTCTGTGATCTTCAAGAGCTCCAGCTTGTCTTTGCCMCTTCCATTTCTGTGTAGCCTTTTGGAAGTGAGATATAGGTGGCTCCAAAGATYTGGAACATATGGTTTTCTGCATCTATGATTTTTTGGATTTTTTTTTCTCCATATTTGCTTATTGTGCACTTTCTGGCGGTGTACAGTATAGTACTCTTAAAATTGAAAAGTGTTCTATCAGAAGGAACAAATATAACTGTTAGGCTCTTCTGGACTTCTGGCTTCATTCCCTGTTAATGCTGAAGTTGTCTGTACTCTGAAACCTGGTGATTTTTCTTCTGCTTTGAGTGATTTGGGTGTTTGTATCCTGGAACATTTTTTCCTGTAAGGAAAAAAATACATGAAATACTAAGAATTGTTTAGTATGGTAATCCYTAGGCCTTTCTTTATACTAAGGTTTTTTTAATATACTCTACAATTTTATACAATATTGGGGGGTGATTTTAAAGTTTACCCAGACCATGCTACTGTTACTGGGAATTAAAATGATACAACTCTGTGTCCAAGTTAAGTAAAGTAGGGCTACATTAATTCTAAATAAAAGAATTGTTTGAGGATTTAATGTAGTTAATCTTGGCCAACTTAAATGGTAATTCAAGAGGGCTTTTTTGAGTCTTCCCATGAGGATGTAGTAGTTGTTTCTATATAGATTCTATAAGTGGATTTGTTTTTAAATGGATTACATACCGTGTTCATTTTATTGACGTGTTTTGCATTAGAAGCAATTTGGTACTTCCAGCTATTTCTAAAGATTAATCCCTAAAAGAATGCTCGTATTTTTAAATTGATTGCTCTTTTGCCCAATTTTGACTTTTTTTTTTATCTTTTATTTGTGGTTTCTGATAGCTAAATAATATGTATCACAACTATTGGAAATTGCTCTTTATTTTCTTTTAAAAAGTGTGATTCATATGCTAATCACAGCAGTCTCCTTTTAATAATATTCTACATTTAGTTTCAGTRCAGATTTTGATATGATATTGTCATTTTTATGATGTTCAGAACTCTAGGTTAATATTACATTAAAAAAAAATACTTCTGTAATTAACTGCTTTGTCTTACTTTTTTTCAGCATACCCATGTGCCCAGACTTATACCTTTAATAACAAGCAACTGTACCTCAAAATCAGTTCCAGTTAGAAGGTGAGTGTATTATAAATAACTTTTTTCAGTTGTTCCTTTTTAAATATGATTGTATGAATACATGTTAATCACCTGGGTGCTGTTGAAAGAACAGACTTTTTTCGGACATAGAGGACACAAATTGTGTGTCCTCCCTTCATCCTTCTAAAGAATTCATTCTACTGTTTAAAGTGTTTGTAACACCTACTGAAGGAGTGCCTTCTGTATATTATATACTATAATGCAGGTGAGAGCAGCTGTAGTTAAAGCCAGGTTTTTCTAGCTAATGAGAATAAACAACCGTGGTTATTGAGAAGCCAGGCTGTTGGGAGGCATTTGTGGGCACGAGGGGACAGCCCTGCACATGACTTGGCACAGCAGCAGCCCCAGCCTGGTCATGCCAGCCCTGACAGGGCTCCTGGGAAGCTCTGCAGCTCCCGCCCCGCTCCCTCGCACACGGGAGCAGTTCGGCAGCGTGTGGCTCTCTTGGGCCSAGGAGGACTTCCCAAATCGTGTACAGTGTCACCTGCATGTAAGAAGCTAGGCTTTGTCTGATGGAGAGCCCAAAATACAAATCCTGGAGAGTGTGGCACTGAGCAGGTGGCTGCTACTTYGTGTAGAACACGGTAGGTCAGACTCTTGCTGCCAACTGAGGTGCGTCTGCAGCACGCTGAGCTTCCAGGGACAGGGTCCTCGAATGCCTCTGTTGGCTTCTGGAGCCTTTTGGGAACCGAGAGGACTCTGTGGTGCACAGAACAGAGCTCTGTGGTGCTCACAAGAGCAGTTAGGCTGTTCTGCACCCACATTTGCCCTGCGAGTTGTATGGCTATGTCTGTGTAAGAGAATTTGAGCACYTTTACAGCTTTTTGTCCTTTCTTTTTAGGCGCTCTTTTGAGTTTTTAGACCTGTTGTTACAAGAGTGGCAAACCCATTCGCTGGAAAGGTATGGGGAAATACTTTCTTCCCAACKGTAAACTGTTGGTGTTTTTATTAATTAACTGTTAATCAACTGAGTGATTTTGTTATGGCATGAAATAATTTGATGGGGAAATTCTAATGAAAAATAGAACTTTCTAAGTGAGTAAAGAAATTAGCCACTTTGGAGCCTTTGGTACAAAAATACACAACAGTATGTTACTTTCCATGTTCACACATGYAACACACCAGGTGGTCTGGATCAGTTTGCCACAAAGTTGAGTTTAAAAAAAAATGTATTTCATAGTGATGCATGAAACTCTCTGGGGTCTCACTAGGGAAACTTATAAAAGTTTTGAGCTTTTTTTTCCCATTTGTAATGCCTTATGTG